AGAGGGGCATAGGGAGAGGGGCATAGGGAGAGGGGCATAGGGAGAGGGGCATAGGGAGAGGGGCATAGGGAGAGGGGCATAGGGAGAGGGGCATAGGGAGAGGGGCATAGGAGAGGGGCATAGGGAGAGGGCATAGGTAGAGGGGCATAGGGAGAGGGGGCATAGGGAGAGGGGCATAGGGAGAGGGGCATAGGGAGAGGGGCATAGGGAGAGGGGCATAGGGAGAGGGGCATAGGGAGAGGGGCATAGGGAGAGGGGCATAGGGAGAGGGGCATAGGGAGAGGGGCATAGGGAGAGGGGCATAGGGAGAGGGGCATAGGGAGAGGGGCATAGGGAGAGGGGCATAGGAGAGGGGCATAGGGAGAGGGGCATAGGGAGAGGGGCATAGGGAGAGGGGCATAGGGAGAGGGGCATAGGGAGAGGGGCATAGGGAGAGGGGCCATAGGGAGAGGGGCATAGGAGAGGGGCATAGGGAGAGGGGCATAGGGAGAGGGGCATAGGGAGAGGGCATAGGGAGAGGGGCATAGGGAGAGGGCATAGGGAGAGGGGCATAGGGAGAGGGCATAGGGAGAGGGGCATAGGGAGAGGGGCATAGGGAGAGGGGCATAGGGAGAGGGCATAGGGAGAGGGCATAGGGAGAGGGGCATAGGGAGAGGGGCATAGGGAGAGGGGCATAGGGAGAGGGGCATAGGGAGAGGGGCATAGGGAGAGGGGCATAGGGAGAGGGGCATAGGGAGAGGGGCATAGGGAGAGGGGCATAGGGAGAGGGGCATAGGGAGAGGGGCATAGGGAGAGGGGCATAGGGAGAGGGGCATAGGGAGAGGGGCATAGGGAGAGGGGCATAGGGAGAGGGGCATAGGGAGAGGGGCATAGGGAGAGGGCATAGGGAGAGGGGCATAGGGAGAGGGGCATAGGGAGAGGGGCATAGGGAGAGGGGCATAGGGAGAGGGGCATAGGGAGAGGGGCATAGGGAGAGGGGCATAGGGAGAGGGGCATAGGGAGAGGGGCATAGGGAGAGGGGCATAGGGAGAGGGGCATAGGGAGAGGGGCATAGGGAGAGGGGCATAGGGAGAGGGGCATAGGGAGAGGGGCATAGGGAAGAGGGGCATAGGGAGAGGGGCATAGGGAGAGGGGCATAGGGAGAGGGGCATAGGGAGAGGGGCATAGGGAGAGGGGCATAGGGAGAGGGGCATAGGGAGAGGGGCATAGGGAGAGGGGCATAGGGAGAGGGGCATAGGGAGAGGGGCATAGGGAGAGGGGCATAGGGAGAGGGGCATAGGGAGAGGGGCATAGGGAGAGGGGCATAGGGAGAGGGGCATAGGGAGAGGGGCATAGGGAGAGGGGCATAGGGAGAGGGGCATAGGGAGAGGGGCATAGGGAGAGGGGCATAGGGAGAGGGGCATAGGGAGAGGGGCATAGGGAGAGGGGCATAGGGAGAGGGGCATAGGGAGAGGGGCATAGGGAGAGGGGCATAGGGAGAGGGGCATAGGGAGAGGGGCATAGGGAGAGGGGCATAGGGAGGGGCATAGGGAGAGGGGCATAGGGAGAGGGGCATAGGGAGAGGGGCATAGGGAGAGGGGCATAGGGAGAGGGGCATAGGGAGAGGGGCATAGGGAGAGGGGCATAGGGAGAGGGGCATAGGGAGAGGGGCATAGGGAGAGGGGCATAGGGAGAGGGGCATAGGGAGAGGGGCATAGGGAGAGGGGCATAGGGAGAGGGGCATAGGGAGAGGGGCATAGGGAGAGGGGCATAGGGAGAGGGGCATAGGGAGAGGGGCATAGGGAGAGGGGCATAGGGAGAGGGGCATAGGGAGAGGGGCATAGGGAGAGGGGCATAGGGAGAGGGGCATAGGGAGAGGGGCATAGGGAGAGGGGCATAGGGAGAGGGGCATAGGGAGAGGGGCATAGGGAGAGGGGCATAGGGAGAGGGGCATAGGGAGAGGGGCATAGGGAGAGGGGCATAGGGAGAGGGGCATAGGGAGAGGGCCATAGGGAGAGGGGCATAGGGAGAGGGGCATAGGGAGAGGGGCATAGGGAGAGGGGCATAGGGAGAGGGGCATAGGGAGAGGGGCATAGGGAGAGGGGCATAGGGAGAGGGGCATAGGGAGAGGGGCATAGGGAGAGGGGCATAGGGAGAGGGGCATAGGGAGAGGGGCATAGGGAGAGGGGCATAGGGAGAGGGGCATAGGGAGAGGGGCATAGGGAGGAGGGGCATAGGGAGAGGGGCATAGGAGAGGGCATAGGAGAGGGGCATAGGGAGAGGGGCATTAGGGAGAGGGGCATAGGGAGAGGGGCATAGGAGAGGGGCATAGGGAGAGGGGCATAGGGAGAGGGGCATAGGGAGAGGGGCATAGGAGAGGGGCATAGGGAGAGGGGCATAGGGAGAGGGGCATAGGGAGAGGGGCATAGGGAGAGGGGCATAGGGAGAGGGGCCATAGGGAGTAGGGGCATAGGGAGAGGGGCATAGGGAGAGGGGCATAGGAGAGGGGCATAGGGAGAGGGGCATAGGGAGAGGGGCATAGGGAGAGGGGCATAGGGAGAGGGGCATAGGGAGAGGGGCATAGGGAGAGGGGCATAGGGAGAGGGGCATAGGGAGAGGGGCATAGGGAGAGGGGCATAGGGAGAGGGGGCATAGGGAGAGGGGCATAGGGAGAGGGGCATAGGGAGAGGGGCATAGGGAGAGGGGCATAGGAGAGGGGCATAGGTAGAGGGGCATAGGGAGAGGGGCATAGGGAGAGGGGCATAGGGAGAGGGGCATAGGGAGAGGGGCATAGGGAGAGGGCATAGGGAGAGGGGCATAGGGAGAGGGGCATAGGGAGAGGGGCATAGGGAGAGGGGCATAGGGAGAGGGGCATAGGGAGAGGGGCATAGGGAGAGGGGCATAGGGAGAGGGGCATAGGGAGAGGGGCATAGGGAGAGGGGCATAGGGAGAGGGGCATAGGGAGAGGGGCATAGGGAGAGGGGCATAGGGAGAGGGGCATAGGGAGAGGGGCATAGGGAGAGGGGCATAGGGAGAGGGGCATAGGGAGAGGGGCATAGGGAGAGGGGCATAGGGAGAGGGGCATAGGGAGAGGGGCATAGGGAGAGGGGCATAGGGAGAGGGGCATAGGGAGAGGGGCATAGGGAGAGGGGCATAGGGAGAGGGGCATAGGGAGAGGGGCATAGGGAGAGGGCATAGGGAGAGGGGCATAGGGAGAGGGGCATAGGGAGAGGGGCATAGGGAGAGGGGCATAGGGAGAGGGGCATAGGGAGAGGGGCATAGGGAGAGGGGCATAGGGAGAGGGGCATAGGGAGAGGGGCATAGGGAGAGGGGCATAGGGAGAGGGGCATAGGGAGAGGGGCATAGGGAGAGGGGCATAGGGAGAGGGGCATAGGGAGAGGGGCATAGGGAGAGGGGCATAGGGAGAGGGGCATAGGGAGAGGGGCATAGGGAGAGGGGCATAGGGAGAGGGGCATAGGGAGAGGGGCATAGGGAGAGGGGCATAGGGAGAGGGGCATAGGGAGAGGGGCATAGGGAGAGGGGCATAGGGAGAGGGGCATAGGGAGAGGGGCATAGGGAGAGGGGCATAGGGAGAGGGGCATAGGGAGAGGGGCATAGGGAGAGGGGCATAGGGAGAGGGGCATAGGGAGAGGGGCATAGGGAGAGGGGCATAGGGAGAGGGGCATAGGGAGAGGGGCATAGGGAGAGGGGCATAGGGAGAGGGGCATAGGGAGAGGGGCATAGGGAGAGGGGCATAGGGAGAGGGGCATAGGGAGAGGGGCATAGGGAGAGGGGCATAGGGAGAGGGGCATAGGGAGAGGGGCATAGGGAGAGGGGCATAGGGAGAGGGGCATAGGGAGAGGGGCATAGGGAGAGGGGCATAGGGAGAGGGGCATAGGGAGAGGGGCATAGGGAGAGGGGCATAGGGAGAGGGGCATAGGGAGAGGGGCATAGGGAGAGGGGCATAGGGAGAGGGGCATAGGGAGAGGGGCATAGGGAGAGGGGCATAGGGAGAGGGGCATAGGGAGAGGGGCATAGGGAGAGGGGCATAGGGAGAGGGGCATAGGGAGAGGGGCATAGGGAGAGGGGCATAGGGAGAGGGGCATAGGGAGAGGGGCATAGGGAGAGGGGCATAGGGAGAGGGGCATAGGGAGAGGGGCATAGGGAGAGGGGCATAGGGAGAGGGGCATAGGGAGAGGGGCATAGGGAGAGGGGCATAGGGAGAGGGGCATAGGGAGAGGGGCATAGGGAGAGGGGCATAGGGAGAGGGGCATAGGGAGAGGGGCATAGGGAGAGGGGCATAGGGAGAGGGGCATAGGGAGAGGGGCATAGGGAGAGGGGCATAGGGAGCAGATTCAAAAAAGAGCGCCCATCCACACAGCGAGGAGACCCTTCTCCAATGTCACGTCCATGAGCCCGCTCTTTAGAGAGGGACGGGGAGAGGAGAGGGGGGATGTGAGGGTGACAGAGGGAGGGAGGGAGAGAAAGAGAGAGGGAGGGAAGGAGATGATGGAGTGGAAGTGGGGCCTCCCCTCCTCTCCTTTTCTCTACTCCAATAGCTACGTAGCGGCTACGGTGTCAGGGAAACACGTTGGATCAATGGTCATGGGGAAGAGCGGCAGTATGCGGGATCCGAGGGGGGATGTGACAGATGGTGGGCGAGGGAGACGAAGGGTAGGGGCTGGGAAACACGTTGGGTAATGGTCATGAGGAAGAGCGGCAGTGTGCGGGGCGGTATCAGGGGAACTTTTGAGACGTCTCAAAAGGTAGTATGCTGGGCAGTACCAGGGGAACACGTTGGAGATTTCGGTTTTTGGATGCAGGGGGGGGGGAGGAGAAGAGGAGACAGGGCGGCCAAGAAGACTTTGTGGTGGTGGTGGTGGTGGTGGTGGTGGTGGTGGTGGTGGTGGTGGTGGTGGTGGTGGTGGTGGTGGTGGTGGTGGTGGTGGTGGTGGTGGTGGTGGTGGTGGTGGTGGTGGTGGTGGTGGTGGTGGTGGTGGTGGTGGTGGTGGTGGTCTTACTAGGTGGCCCAGCAGTAGAGTGGGGATGACAAACACAAGCAGCGCCGCCTCTAGCTTGCCGTAGCACAGCCCTGACAAGACAGGTGAGATGGAACGTAGAGGAGAGACAGGGCAGAGAGGAGAGAAATACATGGTGAGACAGACAGCGGTATGGGTGCATGGGTGGATGGGTGGAAGGGTGGATGGGTGCGTTCGTGCTTTAGAAATTCTCAAAAGTGACTCCTAAACTCGTGAACAACACTCAAAACCTAGCCACTCGCAATACCATCACATATCCTCACACATGCAGACATGCATTCATCCATCCTTCCATCCATCCATCCATCCATCCATCCATCCATCCATCCATCCATCCATCCATCCATCCATCCATCCATCCATCCATCCATCCATCCATCCATCCATCCATCCATCCATCCATCCATCCATCCATCCATCCATCCATCCATCCATCCATCCATCCATCCATCCATCCATCCATCCATCCATCCATCCACCCACCCACCCACCCACCCACCCACCCACCCACCCACCCACCCACACACGCATACCAAGCAACCACGCACCTTCCTTGAACACCAGGCCAGTGAGAGCAGCAAACAGCGGCCCCACAGCCCACACCCCTCCACCATGCCCCACCACATACTCCACCACCCCCACACCCTCCCTCCCCGCAAACCCCCCCGCCAGCGCCACCGCCCCCACCACCCCCACCAGCCACAGCAGCTGCAGCGCCCTCTTAATCTGTGTCACATAGATGTGGATAAGGAATAAGGACGTCCCTAGGCCTGCGGCGCCGAGCGCGAATAGTGGGTCAAGGGTGGGGAGGGCGAGGGGGAGGAGTGGGGAGTCCGGGGGGAGGAAGGCGGAGGAGGCTGCTAGGAGGAAGGAGAGAGATGCTGTGACGAGGCCTGCTCGGTATAGGAACACCTGAGGGAGGGTGAGGGGTGGGGGGAGAGGTGGGGGGGTCATGGGAGGCGAAGGGGAAGGTTAAGGGGAAGGGGAAGGGCAAGGGGTGGCGGAAGAGGTGGGGGAGCGGAAGGAAGGCACCCATGGGTACAGCAGGATTGGGAAGAAGTGAAGAGGGCGAGGGGGAGGAGGGGGGAGTCCGGGGGGAGGAAGGCAGAGGAGGCTGCTAGGAGGAAGGAGAGGGACGCTGTGACGAGGCCCGCTCGGTATAGGAGCACCTGAGAGGGCGGGAAAGGGAAGGGGAGGGGAGGGCGGGAAAGAGGGGGGAAGGGGTGGGGAAAGAAGGGGGAAGGGAAAGGGCAAGGGGTGGCGGAAGGGGTGGGGGAGGGGAAGAAAACAGTCACAAGGATACCAGGTTGAGGGAGAAGTGAAGAGGGCGCGGGGGGGGGGGAGGCGGAAGACTAGGAGGAAGGGGAGGGATGCTGTGACGAGCCCTGCTCGGTATAGGAACACCTGAAGGGGGGGGTGGGCGGGCGGGTAGGTGGCGGGGGGAAGAATGGGGGTAAAGGGTCAGGGAAGGCGTGGGGGAAGGGAAAGGGCAAGGGGTGGCGGAAGGGATGGGGGAAGGGATGGGGGAAGGGATGGGGGAAGGGAAAGGAAGGCAGTCACGTGGAGAGTAGGTTGGGGGAGAAGTGAAGAGGGCGTGGGGGAGGCGGGGGGAGTTGGGGGGAAGGGAGGCGGAGGAGGAAGGAGTGGGAGCGACGCTGTGAGGAGTCCTGCTCGGTACAGGAAAAAATCGAGGGGACTGGGGGTTGGCGGAGAGACGGGAGGGGAAGGGGAGGGGCAAAGGGAGAGGGAGGGGATGGTGAGCAGGAAGGGGAAGGGGAGGCGAGCCAGACATTGGGAAAGTAGGTTGCGGGAGAAGTAGGGAGAAGCGGGGAGAAGTGGGGGGAGGTGGGGGGCAGATGGGGGGAAGACGTGGGGAGATGGGGGGAAGGAGGCAGAGGTCTAGGCATTAGCAGCCCTTCCGCTGCTGCTAGTAGTTAACTGGTAATTAGAGCACACTAATGCGGCCCGAGTCTCGTTAACTGACGGTTAGCTACCTCAGTGCGATCCGAGTCTTCTATTTTCCACGGCCCGTACACTCCGAGGAAAGTCTCGCCGTCGCCCGCTCCCGGCGGTTTCCCCCCGGATCCCTCCGCGGTGGCGCGCGGAGCTACCGCGCGCTTGGACACGTAGATGGACGTGGGGTCGACACGTGTCAACCTGCCGCTGCGCAGCGGAACGCGCGTCAGGAAGGCGGAAGAGGCGGAGAGCGCGGCAGTTGGCGGCGCGCGGAAGGGGGAGCGCAAGCGGGATGCGCCGGCGGCGGATGCATGCGCTTGCGGGCGGGCGCATGGGCGGAAAATGTTTGCGGAGGGACAAGAGACGCAGAGAGCCATGATGCCTGGCGGAAGGAACCGATTATAGCGTGAGAGTGAGAGAGTGAAAGAGAGTGAAAGATAGGAGTGATGTTCTAGGCGAGGTGAGGTGAGACGAGGCGAGGTGAGGCGATTGGCGAGCACTTGTCGCAGGAGGAAAATAAATGGAATAAAGGGATATCGAAAACGGCAGAGCAGAGGCGAAATGTATGACCGCGCTGGTAATGCGACGCGGGCAAGGAGTACTTTGCGACAAAGATGGTTGGTACTTTGAGTCGACGTGGCTGCGTGCGAGGATTCGGCGAGATCAGGTAACCGTGTTTGGCGGAGATGGGAGAAGCATCCGATTCGATATAAAACTTCAATTTCATCAACAAGACAAAGCCTTTCTATGGATAATTTGCCTTGCTGCTGGATTTTTTCATGAAATTATGCCAAACGTACCATATTCACTTCATTTTTGAATCGATTCACTCTCCCAAGTGAAGTAATATCCATGGCCACCCTTCCTGCCAATCAAAACCTTCACTCTCACCCAGTAATTTCTGAGCACAGTACACCCCACAGCATCACCTGCTGCTGCCCATTCCAACAGAACCTCAACGCCACCTCTCTGGCTGAATCCCCCATACAATCCTAACTCCTAACTCCTTACTCCTCTCCGGCCCTCCTACTAGCCTGTCCGCTCTGCATCTTTCAACTCCATCCCCATCTCCCCTTCTCTCTCTTCTTTTACAGCTGCTGCTGCTGCTGCCGCTGGTGCTGGTGGTGCTGCTGCTGCTGGTGCTGGTGGTGGCAGCATGACGTATCGAAGCACGCGGCACTCTATCCCTCCCACCGTCACAGCCCACCGCTGTGACATCTTGAGAAACAGCTTCTGTGTTACCGCAGCGTTACCGCTCAGAACAAACGCCTCTGCTCCCCGGCACTGCCGGCGCAGGAACACACCCAGGCGGTGCCATGTGTCAGCCAGCCATTGGCCCTCCTCGCCGCTGGGAGAGGTGTGGGATAACAGGGCGAGGGGGCGGAGGGGTAGTGGAGGGATAAAGGAAATGGACAGAGGAGGGAAGCAGGGGAAGGTGGGCAGAGATTGGGAGGATATATAGAGAAGTGCCACGTGTTAGCCAGTCATTGGCTCTAAACAATCGCTAAACGCCTCACCTTGTCTCTCCCAGCCTCGTGCCCCACGGCGGGTTCACCACGACCAACGACGGCGCGACAGCTGGCACGTACTCCTCACAGTCCCCCTGACTGAGCCTGATCCAGCGCCCCACGCCCGCCCTGTCAGCGTCGCGCTGGCAGAGCGCCAACGCGCCCTCATGGATGTCGTTGCCGTGAAACGACACTCCTGCGGGCGGCGTGCGTCGGAGCGACTCCGCCTCGCGAATCACGGCGCGCCACGTGGCGGCGTCAAAGTCATGCCACGTGTGGAAGGGCCAGGAGAAGGCGGCGGAGGAGGAGGAGTAGGAGGAAGAAGAGGAAGGGAAGGAGGAAGGCGAGGGATGTTGGGAGGAAGAGCGGAAGGAGCCGGGGGCAATGCGGCAAGCCATGAGGGCTGCTTCTATGAGGAGAGTGCCGCTGCCACACATGGGATCCACCAGGGCTATGGATAATGGTGTTGCTGGTGTTGCTGCTGTTGCTGGTGTTGGTGATGGTGCTACTGCTCCTGAGCCCTGTGAATCTGAAGCGCCTGAATCTCTACCCGTCTCCACCACATCTCCCCCCTCCCCCCCCTCCTCTCGTCCTCCCTCCTCCCATCTCCCCTTCCCTCTCCTCTCCCCTCTCCCCTTCCCCCCGTTCCCCTCCCTGTTCCCCATCCCCCTCCCCATCGCCGATCCACGCCACCTGCTGCCACCCGGCGAGCATCAGCACGCCAGCAGCCACACCCTCGTTCAAGCTCGCCTTGTGCATCGCATCCCGATACCCCCGCTTGTGCAGGCTGCGCCCACTCATGTCCCGATATAAGACTGCCCTCTCTTGGTATAAGGAAAGGAACAGTGGCAGCTCCGATGTTGACTCCCTTGACTCGTTTGACTCGACAGGGTCCGTGAAACCCCCTCTTCCGCCGCCCCTGCCGTCCCTTCCGCCCCCTCTGCCCCCTCCGCCCGCTCCCCCCGCTCCCCCAGCCCAGTCCCTCGGGTCCGGGGGCTTGTACCCGTTATAAGCGTCCCGCATGGCGTCGCAAATGGCGTCCTTAGCGCGCGTGGAGGCTAGCTGAGACGTGCGGATGTCTGGGCAGTCCCACACGCGGCTCTGCACTGAAAACGTCACTGGCTTGCGCCTGAAAACGTTTCCTCCGCCTACTGCTCGTCCTGCTGCTGCTCCCCTCCTCCCGTCTTCCCTCGCCTCTCCCTCACCGATTTCCCCCGGGCCTGCTAAGAGGCTCGGCCAATCCGCGGCGGCGCGCATGAAGCGGTAGAGCGAGTCCCCGTCCGCGCGGCCGTAGCGCGCGCGCAGGTCGCACGCCGCCACCTCGTGCAGCACGCGCACCGCGCAGCGCAGCCACAGATTGGCCCTGCGCGCGATGCATGCCGCGGGGGAGGGGAGCGCGGGGGGGAAGGGATACAGGGGGGAAGGGAAGCAGGGGAGCAAGGGGGGAGGTGGGGAGGGGGAAGAAAGGGGGGAAAAAGGCGAACGGGGGAGGGGGAAAAGGTTGAGTAAGTGTGTAAGGGAACCCTGAACCCTGCACCTAGGGGAAATCTGGGGCGCAAAGGATAAGGTGTTCAACAGGAAATCCGTTGCTTAAACCCTTACACACTTACTCATTCACTCCTTCACTATCTCGCTCCCTCACTCACCTGTACGCAGTTTCCGTCGAGCCTTGAAACGCCACACCCGCTTTTCCCGGAACCACGTCCCACGCGCCGATCAGCCGCGACTGGAGCTCCTCCGCAACTACCGCCTCTAGCCCCGGCGCACACGTGGCAAAAAACGAGTGGCTGCCGCGCCCGACGCCGCGCTCGTCAAAATCTATCTCCGATACAGGACGACTCGCTTCCTCGCGAAAAGGCGGCGGTGCTCGACTGCCGCCGCCGGCGCTCCCGCGCCTTTGGAAAATCTCAGAAGGCTCTTGGCGGCTCCGCGGATCGTCTCCCCATGCGTGTTCCCCCTCTCGCGCGAAACCCCGACTCTCCCCCCATCCGCGCCGGTCTTCCGCCCTGCCTCTCCGCCGATCATCCCCCCATCCCCGCGGTTCCCCCCCGCGCTCCGCCCGGGGCCCTCCCGTGTGCCTCCGCGAGTGCGAAGGTGACACAAACGGAAAGTAGCTCCTGGGGTCGTGAAGCAACGAGCCGGGCGAGGGTGACAGTAGCGAATGTGACGCTGCCGAGTGACTGTTAATCGGTGGGTGCGCGTACGCGTTCGGGAAGTTAGCCTGAGTGTAATACGCACAACACGGCGGAGCTACGGAAGAGCTCACACTGGCGGGAAGAAAGCGCAGGCTCTGGGATTGGATAACGCGGCCCGCACTGGCTCGCGCGACATTCGCGGAGCTCAAAGGTTCTCTATAGCGAGGGCGCGTGCAAGAACGCGCGGTTATTGCGGAGGGAGATGCGGAAGGGGACGCGGAGAGCGGGACGGAAGAGATCATGGTGCGCGACGGGACGTTCACATTCATGGTGAAAGGTCGTTTGTACGGCTGACGCGCGACTGCTGCTGCTGCTGCTGCCGCGAGTCTCGCGGAAGCTGCCGCATCCGCCGTTGAGCACCACGCTAGACGCAGCATGCCCTATCTAGCCGTCTGGCATGAAGCAGATCGTAAGAGGCGGCGGCGGCATGCATGCGGGCATATCATTCTGGGATCGCGGCTTAGAATTTGCATCAGGATTCTTTGGGAGTTCGGGTTCGGGGTTTGATAAAGATATTGCCATTATTACATATTGTTAAGAGTGCAATTGAGCAAGCGAGCAAGAATTGCACTATCTAAGCAAAACAATACAATTAGCGAAGGCATGCGCGAAGAATATATAGCGAACTAGAGTGGTAACGGTAACGTGATAAAATGGGGTGTGCTATGGGCCTAACGCCGAGGTTGGGATATCTCGAGGCGGAGGTCCGGAGCGCGGGTTACCAACCGAGCCGTGAGGTTGGGTCGCATCGTGAACAGTGGCGGGAGTCGTAGTCGAGGCGAATGTCGCGAGCGGGTAACGTTTCACTGTTTGGGTGCCGATGGCGGGAATGGTCTTGTACGCGGTAAGCAGGGGCGCGAAGCAGGGCCTATGTTTGGTTTTTGGCTACTCACGATTAGCAGTGTAGCATTTTTGAAAACCCTTCTGATCAGTGTGAAATTTTTCGTTACACTGATACATCAGTGTAACATTGATTTTCAAAAAATTTACCCCAGAGCATCAGTGTAGAGTTTTTGTGTACCCTTATCGCAAATTTATATTACTAATCGTTATAAAGAGAAGGGAACCAACATTTTATTTATGTAGCCATTAAGTCACATGAATGTACCCTCATCCTCGCTACCATCAGACGACTCCTCTGTTTCCTTTTCTTTTCTAGAGCACGACTTGTGAGGGGCAGGTGTTTTAGCGGGTCTTTTTTTTTTTTGCTTCCGCCAGATATCCACCACCTCGGGCCACTTGTACTCATAGCTCAACATGTTCAGGGTCATCAGTTCGGATAGCCGGGCGTCACCAAGCGACGTTCGCAACCAGCTTTTGATGACGTTTTGGCGGCTGAATCCGCGCTCGCACTCCACGGTACTTAGCGGAATTACTGCCAGCGCCTGCCACATGGACGTCAGGTTGGGAAAACTGCGCGGCCAATCCTTGGTCCTCAGCATTTTGTTAAGTCCCTGGTAGAAGTCATCGTCCTGGTAGTGGCGAGACATGACGTGGCAGAAGCTGGCCAGCTCGAGCTCTGCCGCTCGGTGGTTGAAGCCTGCCACGTGTGTTGGAGGGACAACATTTTGTGAGGTGAAAGGCCGAAACAAAACAAAACAAAACAAAACAAAACACGTGTGGATAATTACCTGGCAGCCGGTTGTTGAAGAGCCGCGCGTTGGCATCCAGCCAACTCAGCACCCGACGATCCCGCTTGTCTGTCGCTTCTGGCCACGTTTCAACTTTGTAAAGCTTGCTGCCATCCATTTGCTTCAAGCTCCACATTCGAGTGTGCATGTTTGTCGCCACCTCCAATGCGAACGCTTTGCACAACTTGATGCAGTCGGCCATCGAGCCGCCGTATTGGTGTCCTGCTATTGGTGCCTCGCTCAGCACGATCTGATGTGAAGATGGCTCACCATCCGCATCCGTGCCGTCCACGCGGATAGTTCGCCTGCCGCTGCCAAGGCGTGCGATGAATGGCGACAGCAGCTTGCTGACCCCCCCTCCGAAAATGTCCACGTATTCCACGTATCGAAGTCTGATGACTCCAATCGTGCGATCCACCTCTTGGTGCACGAGCGTGATGTCAACCTGAACCAAAGACGGGCACATGTGTGAAGAATTTAAACAGGAATGAATGAACTAGGAAAGTGTGAGATACAAATATGAAACCTGTGCCCCTTAGTGTCTACCCCACTACAGCCTACATAGGCTAAGGCATATACATCTGACACACCCCCATAGGCAAAGTGGGGGAGAACTAGGGGTCACAAGACCAGTCAAGCAAAGCAAAGCAAAGCAAGCTCAGGGTGGATCACAACGTCACCACACAGTCTGAGCACCGGTTCAAAGGCCACAAGGCCAGTTCACATGCAAGTTCATATATAAAGGTAAACAAGCAAGTGCAGGTATAAATAGATCACAGTACAAGGAAAGTCAAGAGGTAAGCAAGTGAGGCCAAGTAGGCACAAGACCTAGCATAATACAGAAGCGCTGATGATCACAAGGCTGAAGTGCCTTGGTAAAGATATCAGCAGTGTTGGCCTGAGAGGCCACGTAAGCAAGGCGCAGCTGACCACACTGCTGCAGCTCACGAGCAAGGAAGTAGCGAAGAGCAATGTGATTCGTTCTGTTCTCCAGTCTGTGCTCCCGACACAAGGCCAGCATAGCCTTGTTGTCTACGTACAGAACTGGAGGAGAACGAGGCGGCTCTCCCAGGTCAGTCAGCAAGTAGGTGAGCCAGCGTAACTCCTGTGCAGCCATGGCCCCTGCGTAGATCTCAGCCTCACAGCTGGAGCTGAGAACAGAAGACGAGCGAGTAGACTGCCACGAAACAGAGCCGGAACCAAGGCTGAAGGTGTAACCCTGTGACGACCGCTGAGTAGCCAGGTCGTCAACCCAAGACGCGTCTGCGTGACCAGTGAGGACCACTGGACTCCGCCCTCCAAGCACTAGCCCCAAGCCCGAAGTACTGCACAAGTAGCGCAACACCCTCTTCGCTGCAGCCATGTGCTCTGGTCGGTGTCTCCCAGGAGCAACATAGCATGCCAAGATGCTCAGAGGGTATGCTAGGTCAGGTCGAGTGCAGGTCATCAGGTACATGAGGCAGCCAACAAGCTCTGGGTACGGGCCACTCGGCTCTACGGACTCATCCGAAGGCAGAGCTGAGAACGGGTGGCGAGTAGACAGAGGAGTGGCCTGAGGCGAGGAGTACGTGAAGTCGAAGCGCTAAAGGACCTGCTGCACCATGTGTGACTGAGTCAGGGTAATGGTGCGCCGTGCTCTGTCCCGGGTGATCTGCAAGCCAAGATAGCTGCGCAGTTCACCCAGGTCTGTGCACGTGTGTCTCTTCTGCAGCTCGGACTTCACGTGGGCGAGTCCAGCAGTGTCAGCTGTAGCAAACACCAAGTCGTCGACGTACACGAGGATGTAGAACGGCGGCAGCAAAGTGTCGGTGCGAAGAAACAGCGACGGGTCAGCAGTGGAAGGAGCAAACCCAAGAGCCGCAAGCGTAGTCCTCAGTGTGTCGTGCCACTCACGTGGCGCCTGGCGGAGACCGTAGACTGGCCGCCGGAGGCTCCACTGGGTACCAGGAGGAAACGACCCAGTGAAGCCAGGTGGGCGGCGCAGCCAGATCTCCTCGTGCAGACTGCCCTGTAGGAAAGCAGTGCTGAAGTCAAGGGAGTGAAGCTCGTAGTCACGCTGAGCAGCAACATGCAGCAGAACCCGAAGAGTGGTCATCTTCGGGGTCGGGGAGAAGGTCTGAAAGTAGTCAACTCCCTGCCGCTGACTGAAGCCTCGAGCCACGTAATGCTCCTTGAAGACAGGCGGAGAACCCGGTGGCCGCTTCACCCTGAAAATCCACATGCCACTGACGATGTTCGCCCCAGGTGGGGGAACCTCGTCGACGTAGGTGCCTGTGGACTTCCAGGAAGCCATCTCTGCGTCCATGGCTGCCTGCCACTGAGAGGAGTAAGGACCCTCTATCGCCTCTGCGTAAGAGCGCGGGGTCGGGATGTCTGGTGCATCCGGGTCTCCCTCAGGGGCAAGCAGCGTGGACACGAGATGAGGTAAAGCAGCAGCAAAACACTGGAACTCCTCCTGTCGGTCCTCAAGGACGTCCGTGCTAAGAGCACACTCACCCCCGACGGACGGAGGACAGACAGACGCAGACGCTGACTCAGCAACAAGACTAGCGGCGTAGTCTAGACGACAGTGAGCAGCGAAGTCGACAAGCTCGGTAACTAAGGCAGACGCAGCAGTGGACTCAAAGGAAGGGTCAGTGACAACAGTGGCTAGGAAACGCGTGACAGCAGGACTGGCAGCACGAAGGGAGTCAGACGCCGGGTCAGCAAGAGCAGGAAGAGAGGACTCTGGAGGAGACGGCAAAGGGACACGCTGTGGCGCAGTGGAAGGACGCAGTGCCATCTGATGCGTGCCCGGGACTGCAGGAGGACGCGGACGTGGAACACGACGACTAGTGCGAGCAGTACGAACAGGTGACGCAGGACGCGACTCAGGCTCACGACGCTCAGCAAGACCTCTAGTAGGACCAGCGTAGGGAGAAGGAGCAGGCAGAGGGGAGACCAGCTGTAACTGTGACTCGGACTGGACAGGCGGAGGACACTCTAAGGAAGGAGCAGGACTAGGAGAAGGCGGAAGACCAAGAACCTGCTCAAGGAGCGGAACGAAGTACGGCCGCGGCCGCGCAGCACCTCCAGAACCAGCAGGGACAACACCAGTACCCCCAGCGTCAGCTCCAACTCCAGCAGCACCACCAGCTCCAGTACCTCCAGCAGCTCCAGCTCCAGCAGGACCACCAGCAGACACAGCCGCTCCGGCTCCAGTACCTCCAGTAGCACCCACTCCAGCAGCACCACCAGCTCCAGCTCCACCAGTAGCTCCAGCACCAGGTGCACCACCAGGCCCAGCAGCTCCAGTACCTCCAGTACGAGCACCTCCGGGACCCGTGGCTCCAGCACCCCCAGCAGAAGCAGAACCTCCAGTACCGGCTCCAGCAGCACCTCCAGCTCCAGAACCTCCAGCAGCAGCAGAACCTCCAGCACCGGCAGCACCTCCAGCTCCAGCAGCACGGCTCCAGCGGCGAGCAAACCACTCGCGCAGCTCCTGTGGAGAGGGAAGCTCCCGCCGGGACAAAGCACCCGAAGGACCGCCAGGTCCAGCACCGACAGGCTCCACACCCCCACTCCCAGCAGCCCCAGGCTCAGCACCCCCAGAAGCAGCACCCCCAGGCCCCTCATGCTCAGGCTCAGCACCCCCAGACCCAGCACCCCCAGGCTCCGCACGCTCAGGCTCAGCACCCCCAGACCCAGCACCCCCAGGCTCCGCACGCTCAGGCTCAGCACCCCCAGACGCACCAGAGTCAGCAGCT